ATAAATCACAGTCCAACACGAGGACTTTCATAACTCACAGTCCAATCTCAAGGACTTCTATAAATCACAGTCCAACACGAGGACTTCTATAAATCACAGTCCAACACGAGGACTTCTATAAATCACAGTCCAACACGAGGACTTCTATAAAATACGTGTCCAACACATGGACCGAAATGATAAGTATCCAACACATGGATCAATAGTAATGTATGCCCAACACATGGACTATAAGTAAAGAGGTGCAATTGTCAAAGGTATATGTGGAAAGATATACATATCCTAAACTCGCACGTGTCTCGATATGCGGGTCTAAACTTGTGTCAAAAGTGTCAACTCACATGTATAGACAAGTCACTATCATTGCAATATAGTGTTAGATAATCGAGGCGACCCCTCGGACGTATAAAATACACAACCAAAACAAATACATACACAAACAGTGCGGCGGTCGACCGCAGAGACCACTCCGGTCGACCGCGCATAGGGCAGAGGCATTCTGCTCGACTGAACGCCCAGCGGTCGACCGCCGCGTCACACGCGGTCGACCGCGAAATGAACAGAAGCTTTTTTCCAGATTTCTGTTCTGCTTCGAAATCGATCCAAACAATACACCCATGCTTCCAAACAATATATTACACATTCTAATACATATGAATCATCGTATAATAATATCTAGCATGAAAACAAAAAAAAACCATCACTAGGATTTGTGAACTTCTATACACGTGATTTAAAAGTTATAAAACAGTAAACTTGCATCAAAACTCAGAGTTCAAAAACAATTTTTCAGATCCGGATCTATTACAGAAAAGAAATTCATTTGGTGAGGTTATTTTCAAACTGAAATATTGGATTTTCGCATCATATGCTACAAGAACTATACTTATATGTAAACTAGCATTTTAGGCTCAACAAATCTCAATAAAATCATTAGAAAACCCATAAAAACGTGGGTGAAGGGATGGGTGAGATGTCACTCGCCTGAGGGGGTTGATGAACACCCAAAAACGAGTGAGAATGGTCCTCCTTCAATCTGATCAACGAAACTCCACCGAAAATCCTTCTAAACGCCCCAAAAACGCCAAAATCCGAGCTAGGGTTTTGAGAGGAGAGAGAGAAGGGGGCTGGGGCTATTAGGGTTCAATAGAGGGTTCTGAGAGCTTCAAAATGAGTATATATACTTAGGGTAGCAATCGGGTTTGGTATAAACAAAAGCAACCCAAAACAGAACTGAAACTGGCATCTGTACGCTGAGCGGTCGACCGCAGCGACCACGGCGGTCGACTGCGCAGGTTCCTGGGTCATTCTCAGACTGGGGTTCGGTGAAAAGGCTATAACTTTCTCATCTGATCTCGGAATGATGTGATCTAAGATTCGTTGGAAAGCTCTTGAAGAGACCTACAACTTTGATCTTATACACCTTTCCATATTCTAAATAAATCAGTGCGAAAAATATAAAAACTCTCAACTGGTCAAAATTCTCAGATTCTCACTATTTGCCTTTGTGCATGTTTTGTGTATTTACACTCGTATATTCACAATTATGCATTGAATTGATCTCAAATCAATTCCTATCATACTCAAACATAAAAATACATTATTTTCATCATATAACATATTTATAATTATTTATCACACTATATTCAAATTTTCGGGGTTTTACATTCTTCCCCCCTTAAAAGAATTTCGTCCTCGAAATTCAGAAATTATACTCAAACAAATAATATTACTCTAGACAAGCATATTATGATATTTACCTTTAACAATCTAGGATGACTATATCTCACTCAACCCTTAATCAAATGGAACTAGTACGTCGGGCGAAAAATCCAAACAAGGAACCCCCCATATATATACCATGTGTTCCAAAAGATTAAGAATTGAGCAAAAATATCCTCATTCTAGCGTTAAATCAAAATATAACCACACAAATAGTCGCACACATAAATCAATCCACTTCCTCACTAGGTGCAGGAAGTAGCGCGGCATAACATCTTCGCGCTCCCAAAAATCATCTTTGATGTCTACACTCAACCATTAAAATGTAAATACTCCCACTTAACCCCTAACTAAATGGAACAAGTACATCGAGCGAAAAATCCAAACAAGGAACCCCTCATATATATACCATATGTTCTAAGTACTTAGGAGATAAGTGTTAATACCCTCATTTTAGTGTTAAGTATAAACATCACTATACAGGTAACCATAAGTCATAAACAAGTCATACAAAAATTTAATTTACTTGATCAAACAGGTGTGGGTAGTCGCGATGTATATCGTCCTCGCGCTCCCGAGAAACCTCCTCAACTCCTTTCTAGTTCCACTAAATTTTCACCAAGGGAAAAAAAATATTGATTCTAAATTTCTTGTCTTTTCTAGCAAGTATACAAACTAGGATCTCAATCGTAGTCAAACCATCCTGAAGCTAAATCTCTGATGCGTTCAACACTCACTGCTGCTCTTCATCATGTAATTATTTCTTGAACATTGAAACATGAAACACTTTATGTACTCTGGACATCGATGCTGGAAGGTCTAGTCCATATGAAACAGCCTCAATAAGCTCCAAAATTCGGAACGGTCCAATATATCTCAGTTCAAGCTTTCTCCGCCTTCCGAATCGCTGAACGTCTTTCATAGATGATACTTTCAGCACAACTAACTCTTCAAATCTAAAACTCTAAATGTCATCATCTCTTATCTGCATAACCCTTTTTGCTGACTTCGAGCTGCTAGAACCTGTCCATTGATTTATGTTACTTTCTCAGTAATCTATCTCATAAGCTCTGGCCCAAGCATTAAAATATCCTCCTGCTCTACCCAATATATAGGCGATCTGCAAGGCCTCACGTACGATGCTTCATACGGGGCCACACCAATTATCGCTTGATAACTGTTGTTATAAGAGAACTCTATCAGTGGAATATGATCCTCCTAGTTGCCTTGGAAGTGAATGACACAAGCCCGCAACATATCCTCCAATATCTGATTTACTCTCTCCATCTTACCATCCGTCTGTGGGTAGAATACACTATTGTAAAATAAATCTGTTGCCAAATGAATCCTGGAGATCCTTCCAAAAATGCGGAATGAACACTGAACCTCGATCCGATACCATCGTTCCTGGAACTCCATGAAGTCGAACTATCTCCCAAACAAAATATCCTCGCCTCGGCGGTATAAGCAGTCCTTACTAGAATGAAATATGTTGGCTTCATTAGTATATACATTATCATCCAACCAGAATCATTTTATTTCTTCGACTCCGGCAACCCTACAATAAGGTTCATAAAAAGGTCCGCCCAATTCTATTTCGAAATGGGAAAAGATTGAAGTGTTCCTACCGGTCTCTAATGTTCCACCTTCACTTACTGACAGGTAAGACACTTAGCTATACACTCTGAAATCTTCCTATGCATATCACTCCACCAAACGTGTCCCTTTAGGTCTTTGTACATCTTAATTATTCCTGGATGTACAGAATCACGAATTCAGATGTTTGCACCAACGGTTCCACCCGTTGGTGCTGATGTTTGCACCAATGGTTCCACCCGTTGGTGCAAAAACGTGTTGAGGTTTCATTAAACATAGACAACATCCCAAATTGTTTACAAACATCAACCATATAAACATGCTAGTTCAATAGTTTCTCAAGTCAACCTGTTGCATATACCACAAAAATATTTGTTCACGTAACAATCATTGACAACTTGTATCATAAATTCAGGCACTTACAAAATACAATCTACAAAATTGGTGTACATGAGAAGCATGAACAATTACATGAGTGTCTCACAAACACAATATATAAAGTTTTGGTGCTCAAACATAGCACTTAACACGCCCAAAATAAACCAAACTTTGGCACACAAACATGACATCTTGGATATAAAAAACATTCAAAATTGTCATTGAACCCTTCGTGTAATAGGCTCATAGTTTTGACTGTAGATTGTCCTTGAACTGCCAATTCATCAGTAGCAGAGGAGTGAGCTTGATGAGTGTTGAATTGGCTGCAACTCTCCTTAGAAATTTCAGTGTTGAAATGTTTCAGTGGCATCTCTCTTGCAGCCGCTACATTCCCTCCCCATCCAAGCATCCTTCCTCTAGCATAGTTGTGCATCCTTCCCGTATTAAAGTTCAGCTTCATGCATTGAGATTAAAAGCCAAGATATGAAAGATGTTCAATGTAATAGCAAAAAGTAATAACTAGTATCATAAATGCATAAGTACAAAAACTACCTTCCTCCACTTCTAGCTCTCCCTCTTCCCCTTGAACTAGCTGAATCTTCCCTTGCAGGATGTGGATTTTCTTTTGTTATATTTATTGCGGTTGTGTTGAGTGGATCCTTGCATGCATGTAACCTTGTGATGCTCCCATCCCTTGCACCTAGTACATTTGACTTTTTCATGTTTTTTCCCATCTATTTCATCTACTCTCCTAAATCTCTTATTATTGGTCTTCGTCTTTGTCTTTTTGTGTTTGGAGTACTGACAATATAGTCTTTCTGAAGTGGTGGCAATTGATTCTTTGAAGGTTGAGTTTCAATAGACATTGCATATGCTTTTCTATATCTACAATAAAATAATGAAGGTTTATCAGATGTTATCTATGCATTGCAAAAGTGAAGCAGTCGTAATAAATTCTATGTATCATACCTCTCGACAGTGAAGCACCATCACTTGCTGCCTTTCTTCTGGTGCTTCTCTGTTTATATGAAAAAACTAGGATAAGAAGAAGTAAAGACAAATTTTTGAACAACAGACATGCGAGAGATTACTTGATCTCCTTTTAGCTTCAGACTTTTCAAAGAAATCTTTCCATTCATCAGTTATGACAAACATAACATCTCCTTCTTCGTCTTCGAGCTCCAAGTTCTCTTCCAACTCTCCCTGCTCCAATTTGCTAATAGTAGAATAAACAGATTACTAGTTTTAAGATCAGTTTCTGGAGGGCAAGGTTCTTTAGCTGTTATGACTTTGCTAGCTTTAAGATCCTCAATAGATTTTTGAATCTCTTCTGAAGCTCCTGAGTCCTCTTCCAATTAGATAAAAAGAAGATCATACGTTAGTCACCAGAGAATAAATAACTGAAGAAGTTAACGTTCTAGAGGACAACTTACTAGTGTTAGTCACCAGAGAATAAATAACTGAAGAAGTTAACGTTCTAGAGGACAACTTACTAGTGATCATAGAGTTCTCAAACTGAGGAGAAAATACATTGAGACGTTTTTCTTCCTCTAAGATACCAAGATAGTTGAAAAGAAAAATGCGCGAAATTAGTAACGCTCATAGAGGAAAATAAGTAAAGGGCAAGATAATTCATACAATACTCATAATGAAACAAGAACAGTATATGAAATAGAGAATTTCATCAACATATCACAAACCAGATGTATATTCAAGAGACACATGTGACACATTGAATATATAACCAAATTTTGTGTAAGATTAAAGATCTCATATTACGTCAAGCATCATCCAAAGTTGAAAAACAATTTGAATATTTTCTAACACAAAATTTTTTTATCTACTTAACTTGGTTATTTGCAAGCGATGCAGGTTTCTAGCAGTTTCTGTGTGGTGTGGAAAATGGTTGGATGTGTAGGTACTGTTTCTGGGATGCTGAGGATGGACTATGGAGTCTATGCACCTAGACTGCTAGAGACCAAACACAAATTATTTTGAGTCGTGGTCATTAAGTAACAGTATTTGATTGAATCTGCACATAAATGTTTCTAAGGCTAACAATATGAACTATCAGCTATGGCAACTGTAATTGCTGAAACAGATACCAACTTAGATGCTATGATTACCAAGAGCTAATAAGCATTAACACAAAATACAACCAGACACACGGAAATGCTTTAAAGAGTAGATGGGAACTAGACAATTTGATACTAGAATATATACAAGGAAATAAACAAGATGTTACATACATATACATACATATTGACATTCATGTGTTGGCACATACTAATAAAACTACATAATTTCTTATTAAAATATGATAAAACACAACAAAATACTTGCATATCAAAATGTTCCATAAAATACAATAAAATATCATATAAAAACGATATACAAAATCTAGTTTGTAGCTATCCTTCCGTCTGTAAACAACCCAGATTCCAAATCCATATAAAAACGATATCCTCTAAAACTCAAATTATTTTTCAAAATTACCATCACAAAACATTGTCTTAAACACAAAGAAAACCCTTAAACAACATAAGGTTGCATGTTTGGAGCTCAAATCCAGAATAATCAACGAAAAGGATCATTCCCTACATACACACAGATAAAAGTCCCTAAACTATCAACAAAATTAACATTAAAAAAATGCAATTAATCAAAAATGGGAGAAAATATATTATCCTATTCTCTAAACTCAGGTTACGGTGTAACGGGACTTTGGAATGGCTTCCGTTCTTGATTCCTTCAATCTTCCAGGCTATTCGGTGCTTTGTTGAATGTCTGTTAGAGTTCCGGTGCTGCATTTATTGTCTGACCGTTGTCGGAATTTTAAACTTGAAGTCGACTCCTGATTTCAAAAATGGGAGAAAATATATTATCCTATTCTCTAAACTCAGGTTACTTCTCAAAATCAACATCAAACAGCAGTCTTCACAGAAAGAAAACCCTTAAACAACATAAGGCTGCAGATTAGGAGCTCAAATTAACAGTGATTAAAATTAAGGATCATTCTCTACATACAAACAGACAAAATTATCCTTAGACCAATCAAAAGAAATTATCATCAACAGACAAAATTATCCTTAGGCCAATCAAAAGAAATTGCCATCAAAAAGTAGAAAATTAATGAAAATTAAGGGGGAAGATAAGTTACCCATTCACTTGATCAGTGAAAGAAAGAGAGGCGAATTCCCCTTTAGTTCTTGACATCGAGATTTGGGAGACGCTCGACTCTCCATCAGGAGCTTTACTGACCTCTGAATTGAGAAAAGGACGTATCTTTTCAATGATCCGAAGCCCTCGATACAAATTGGTAATATATGACAAATTAAAATCCACTAAAATCAGAATAATATATGACAAATTCTAACAACTGTAAAAACCTAAGCTAAAGACCAACAGATCTAGACAGAGATAATATATGACAAACAAACCATTAGAAAACAAACTAAAATCCACTAAAATCTCAATAACAATAAAGAAAAGTCAGAATAATATATGACAAATTCCTTTTAATTTGTCATTTATTAGGGTTAAGGGTTTTGAGTTAGAGGACTTACAAGTGAGACGTCCGGCGAAAATGGGGAGCAAGAGAGGCGGCGAGGTCCGATTTGGGGAGGAAGAACTAGGGTTTTTTGAGGGGGACTCGGCGGCAAACTGCAGGGCTCGACGGCGGCCTCTGACGGCAGTGACGAGTTCAGAATTGGGGGGAGAAGGAGCACGGGATTGGGGTTTTTTGAAGAGAGAGAGAGAGAGAGAGAGAGAACGGGGGTTAATCTGAGGGGTTTGGCTGGTTTTTTTAATTTTCGCGAAAATAAATAGGGGGGAAATTTCCCTCTCATGAGAGAGAGAGAGAACGGGGGTTAATCTGAGGGGTTTGGCTGGTTTTTTTAATTTTCGCGAAAATAAATAGGGGGGAAATTTCCCTCTCATGTCCGTGTAGGTGAAACCCACTTGCCCCAACTATTTGAACCGTTGGGGCGGCTAAAATCAGCCCCAACGGTTCTTTTCACCTATTGAGGCTGGGCCTCTTTTTAGTAGTGATTTTGGCTTAAGTTTGAAATAAAGTACATAAGCGATAATGAATTTACTGTTCAGAGACAGGATGGGAACTACAGTATCCCAAAGGCTCTTGGTAACTAATGCATCTCTTTGGTTAGCAGATTCTGCAACCTGAGACATTGGAGCAAGTTCTCTAATATGCCAACTAATGCATCTCTTTGGTTAGCAGATTTCTTTCAGTATACTGTCCAGTGCATTTTGCCTCTACCCTTATTTGTCATCTCCGGTTGAGCATTATGGTTTTTGCCTTGAAGCTCCAGTAAAAAGTTCAGGTTCTACTCGTGCTCTTGGTAACTATAGTATCCCAAAGGCTAAAACTTTCCTCATAATTCCAGATAACTTGTCCCTATTCATTCAACAACATATGGACTATAGTTTTCAGTATGTTGATAAAACTTTTTCATAGATCTCTAGAGCTTACATCACAGCAATAAATTTGTTGTACTAGAATTCAAACTCAATGGAATATCTCACTAGTCACTTCAGTGTTACCAGAGAAAAGAGAAAATAAAACATATCAGAGCCCTCCCACAAGCACAACCAAAATAACACTTATAAAAATGGAACAATTGCCAGAGGTACAACAGTTAAAGGCTTGCAGCACACAGAACAGAAGTTACAGCTATTTTTCGTTTGGTGTGGTTATGATGTGAAAAATATAAGGGATTTAAAGCATTAAAAAATTCATTTGCTAACTAAATTAAGACAGTAATAACATGTTTGAGTTACTTATGCCTTTCTAGATCCAAGGACAAAAAACAAGAGGAATAGGTTACCTATTTCATCCGTGTGATCATAAGTTGTGTCAAAATGATGCCCTTGTACTTCTGCCAGCCTTCCATGATAAAAGTTTGAAACCATTAGAAGGAGAAAGAAAAAAAAAAGAATACTCATATTAGCCGTAATGATTAAAATGAAAAAGATCTAAATTTTACACAAGTTTTGGAACAGCTTACACATTTCTTAACATGTATCTTCATGTCTGCCACCGGAAACTCTCTTGACAATTTACATGACAGAAAACAAATGACATTTTTATGGTCGCTCAAGCATTATTAATTTATCTTGTCATCCATATTTTGAACAGTTTACTACAACATAAAATAATTTTATCAGCTTTTTTACTTTTTCAGAAGATACATGGATAGATACTTATCAAGTCATTGGTCCATCTTTTTTATTCTTTTGTCTGAAGAAAATAACTTCATTTTGAACCCAAAATCCATGACAAGTCATCATGTATCTCTCTATTTATTTTCTTGAATTCTACCCAAGATGAAGAAATGGCTAACAAAGGGAACATTTTACTCGTTCCATAATTGGTCTCATATTTTTTAGTCCAAAAATAATTTCCCCTCTAAAGAAATATAGTATACAAATAGACATTTGATAAGTTCATGGAGGAGTTGGATTGACAAGCTAACTTTCACGAAGATGAAGCAAATTCCGGTATTGCAGCTGGAATTGACATGTCTCTCAACGTGTTCAATGTTTCATAAATCACTTCAGTTCCTGAATGCCTTGAATCTGAAGAGCAGAACTCATGACAATGAGAGTCCACTTGAACCCAACTCAATCCACGATGATTGCCCTCCAAATTGCACATTTTGTGGACAACCTGCTTCAATCTGGCAACATCTGCCCATCTCCGGCATGCACCATATATTTTGGAAAGCATCACATAATGTGTGACATCCTCTGGTTCTAATCTCACTAACCGACTCATTGCAAGCTCAGCAACAATCAGAATTTGTCTTTGATGCTCATATTTGTGTCCATGCTCATCAAGTTTTTGTTGGCAAGCCCCTAAAATTGTGCTCCAAATAACGCAATCAGGCTCCAATGACATGGGCATTATCCTCACAAGACCAAAAGCTTCATAAACCAAACCGGCTCGACTAAGGAGATCAACCACACACCCATAATGCTCGATCCATGGATCGATCATGTAATTCTCAACCATGGACCTAAAGTAGGCAATCCCTCTCTCAACAAGACCCACCGAATGCACACAAGCACTAAGAACTCCAACAAATGTGATGCCATCAGGTCTATAATTTTCTCCGTTCACCATTTGCTCAAAGAGCTCTATTGCATCAATCCCATGTCCGTGTGATGCAAGGCCATTAATCATCGAGTTCCAAGTGACCACATCTCTTGTCTTTTTCTCCATGGTATGAAAAAGATTTTTAGCATCTTCTATGCATCCACATTTGGAATACACATCTATGAGTCCATTTGTTACACATAAGGATATTAATAATCCATGGTGTCTTTTGGAAGCATATGAATGAATCCCTTTCCCAAAGCTCAAAGCCCCAGTCTTCGCGCAAGTGGAGAGAACTAACGCCATGCTGGCATCATTGGGCTCAACAGCACAATTGAGCATCTGTTTGAATGCAACTAGGGTGCGAGAAAATCGGCCATGACGAGAGTACACTCCAATCAACCCATTCCAAGAAAAGATATTCTTCTTTTCACCAGGCATCTCCTCAAAGAAGAATCTCTCGCATTCATCTACAAGACCACCATCAGCATTGGCATACCCAAGCAAAACTGTGTTCCAAGCCATTGGGTCCCGCTCATGATTAGGCATCTGGGCAAAGAGCTCTCTTGCGGGTCTCATGTCTCCTTGGTCAGTGTAGCCCGAAATCATAGTGTTCCACAACACAACATCACGATCCACCATTCGATCAAAGAGCTCACGTGCAGAATCTACATCCCCGGCACAAACATAAGCTCTAATTATAGCAGTTTGTGATACAACATCCTTTATCGGCATTTCCTCAAACACCTTGCGCGCCTCGTCAATACTCGACGAGTACATACCAATGAGTGTAGTCCCTACAAAGCTATTGCATCTGAACCACCCAGTCTTGATAGTAAAACAATGAACCTGCTCCCCGTCACTTAAAGCCGACAAAAAGGCACAAGATTTGATCACAAAGGTGAAGGTATAAGCACTAGGTGTAACAAAGAACCCATCTTTTCTCCTCTCCTTCATCATTTGATTGAAGAGAAGGAGAGCGTCGCTACAGAGACCAGCCTCGGAGAATCCTTTGAGCATGACGTTCCACAGGACGACATTCGGGTGGAGAATTTGATCGAACAACTGGCGGGCGAGAGCCGGGCGTTGAAGTTCGAAGAATTTGGAGGTGATTTTGGGGGAGAGGTAAGGGTTTTGGTGGAGGCCGAGGGTTATGATTCGCCCTTGGATTCGTTGGATTTGGGAAGGGGCTCTACATCTTGATATTAAAGAGGTTAGGGTTTCTTCTACTTGCCTACAGGGACTAAATTGTCCTACAAACTTATTCATCCATCGGATACGTGAAGCAAAGTCGAGGGGTGATGTTTGATTATGTTGACTGTTGGGTGGGGTTCAGGGTTTTGGGAGCGGAGCAGTGATCCGATTGATGATTGTGGAGGGGGAAAAAATAGTTATTGTTGTAATATACTAAAGAAATGAAACAAGAGACCAGAGAAGAAGAGAAATTATAATCTTTTATTTACCTAATTTTATTTCCATACATCGTACAATTTATAGATACATGGTGGAATACAAAATGACATGAAATTAATAGTCCACATATAAAGTAATGTCCACATACATTTTGTCTTTTAAATATCAACAAAATGTCTTTTAGATTTCAACACTCCCCATTGGACATTACTTCGAAATGTCAATGCCTCGTTAAAAACCTCGCTAGGAAAACCCAGTGGGATAAAAACTAGTCGAGGAAAAGAGTACACGATATTAGTAGATTATTGTTGCATTAGTTGCCTCATTAAAAACCTTTAACTAAGAAAACTCTGTGGGACAAAACTTAGCAAAGGAAAAAAAGAGTACAACTATAGATCTTCGGGATCCAAACTTATGTTGCATTAGTTGCCTCATTAAAAACCTTTAGCTAAGAAAACCATGTGGGACAAAACTTAGCAAAAGAAAAAAAGAGTACAACTATAGTCCTTCAAGGCACAATCTTCGGGATTGCGTTAAAATTCGCTCCCCTTGATGATGACAATCTTCTGAGTCTATGCTAAGAAAAACCCAGTGGGACAAAACTTAGCGAAAAGAGGCAAATTATGATAATAGACCTTCAAGGCCCAATCTTCAGGATTGTTCTTTAAGAATTTGCTCCCCCTGAAGAAGATAGTCTTTCAAGTCTATGCATATTGTGAACATATTTCTCATAAGTTGATGTAGGCAGAGATTTAGTGAACAAATCTGCAAGATTGTCACTTGACCGAACTTTTTTCGATGGTGATTTCGCCATTCTTTTGGAGCTCATGTGGATAAAAGAATTTTGGCGTAATATGTTTGATTTCGCCATTCTTTTGGAGCTCATGTGGATAAAAGAATTTTGGCGTAATATGTTTTGTCATGGTTCATTTTACATATCCACTGCTCATTTGTGCAACACAAGCTGCATTGTCCTCATAAAAGGACAGTGGGGGAATATCATCTTTTGCTAGACCACACGAGCCACAAATATATCGTATCAACGATCTTAATCATACACATTCTCGTGAGGTCTCATATAAAATGATAATCTCTGAGTGGTTAGAAGAAGTAGTCACCATGGTCAGCTTAACAGACCTCTAAGAAACGACAGTACCACCACAGAGAAAAACATAACCAGTCTGGGATCTGGCGTTATGGGGATCAGACATGTAGCCAGCGTCCTAATAGCTCACCAATGTTATATCTTGGTTTCTTTTATAGAATAGTCCAAGATCTTTTGTATCTTGAAGATAGCGAAGGAAATGTTTAACGACATTCCATTACCTCCTTGTAGGATAAGCACTATACCTTGCTAGTAAGTTCACCGCAAATGCAATATCAGGCCTGGTGCAATTTGCGAGATAAATAAGTGCTCCAATGGTGCTCAGATAGGGAACTTCTGGCCCTAACATTTCTTCATTATCTTCTTTGGGTCTAAATGGGTCTTTATCCACTTCGAGGGACCGGATTCTTATTTTCTCTCAATTTAGGAATTTTAAGTCCATCAGGGACTTTCATATAAAAATATTAGCGTCTAATGACTCATATTAAAATGTGGTCATGACGTACATATACTGCATATATAAACTCATAGTTTTGCCATAGGTATTAACTTGCGGAACATAATACAATCACTAATAGGAGAATATTTTACATCTAAATCGATGTCGGGTCTCTGCGTGAACCCATTTAGCTATGAATCTCGCTTTATATCTCACCACCTTACAATTTCATTTATTTTTCTTACGAAGACCCATATATATCCTGCAGGTATAGACTACAGGTTCAAAATACTTTAGCGAGTTCAGCTCAGCCTCAATTGTCACTTTCCATCTCACCTAGTCCGAGTGCTTCAAGCACTCTATTACCGACTTAGGTTCTGGATCTAGATTATTTTCGGAGATAGTAAGAGCAACTGTAGAGGTAACTATGTTGTCGACAACTTTTATATTTCTATTATATATTTCTCCTTTTTCACAAATTCGTGGCCACTGCAATTCTTATTTTATGTCAACCAAATCCTTGTCATTTCCCTTAACAATTGGATTTGGCCGTTCCGCATCTCCAATATTATCAAGTGCACGTGCAATTTACTGGAGATTTCATCTTCAGGATGAACCTTTTCTGGAGGTTATGGGAGTGACTGTCTTTCTATATATATAATTTAGTTTGCCGCGGACTTTTATCTTTTACACTAACATGTTTTATATGCTTCTAGCACAATGTGCTTCTGGCATACCAAATCATCAATGATATATTCAACATGAATATGGGGCTTAGTCACTCTTTTCTTACCAGATTATCATTTGAGCTTCTGGTTCAGTTTGACTAGTACGTGGATATAAATATTAAAGATCTTTTTCACCAATGGAATTTCTTGACATTATTTTGTATTTTGGGCACTAATCTCCCCCTAATGTCGAGAATTGATTTTCAATAAAAATGCAGTCAACGTACTAAATTGTAAATTGATGCCCTAACATGGGCCATAGGTACTAAATTATTGACGGTGTTTCATAAATAATGTATGTACATTCACCGAGGTCCCATAGAGGTACGCTATGGTGGTGATATAGAAACATGGACTGCAAATAAATAATACGCAGATGGGAAATGTTTCGCTTCTTCACCACGTATTAGATAAAGGGGGAAAATTATGATATATGCAGTTGGTCGGATTTGGTTTGAATGCCCCATTTAATTTAAGGAAATCCGACAAAACATATTTTGCCCAAGATGACCCAATCGCTCATGCCAGAATTTAAAAGAATTTGGGTCCCTAAATCTCAAACTTATCGCAACATGTTGTATTTTAGGTCAGACAAATTCTAAAATATACACATATGAATAAAAACCACATAGGTTCACAAGAGTTTAAAGCAAAATCAAGATAAATTAAAATTGTCTGACAAATGCATATAATCCAAATATAGAAAAACCAAATAGTTTACCTTGAGCACCTCAATAAGATCTACTACCTCCCCCTCGTTCGAGCTTATGAATATTAATTTAAATTGAACCAATTAAACTTGTATTATGGTTTCTCACAACAGCTGGTTGTGTTTTTAACAACTACTAATGCAAGGATTAGTTCATAAAGCTTTTAGTTGTACTATTGTAAGAGTACAAGGTTTGAATTGTATTCAGTCAAGGGTTTAAAATCCAAAAATGGCTACAGGATAAGATCTCCTACTATGTTCATAGCCTCCCCCTTGTCCACGCGTATAAGTACTTTTCTGAATTGTAGCATGTGCTACAAACACAACTCGTCAGCCAACTAGTCTGACATTATGATTTCTAATCATCAATTGATTGTGCTTCTCTTCGACTACTAATCAATTCAAAATGCTAAGTGCAATTCTTGGTCATGTACTGCTGCTGGAGTACAATATTATTTGCGTGGAATAGGGAAAAGAATTTTTCGATCAATTTTATCACTGTCTGTAATGTTCTGCTTACAAAGTTTCAGCTACTAGATAATTTGGTACAGAGCTGAATCATATTTAGTCATGTATTTGAAATCCAAAAAGTTCTGATTCAGTCTGCTAGTTGCGTTTGAGGGAAGATTATTGGTTTTCATAGATCAAAGCTATCCTTCAGGGATTGCCCAGAAAAGTGAACACTTTTTCAGTGAGGTATTAATTTTTCATGTCTTAATTGATAGAGAGAAAATTTAAAGTGTTTGTCTTCTGGACAAAGATACTTAAAGAATCAAGAGATATAATCGTGCAAAAATCACAAGGGTGTCAGTAAAAATAAACGTTCGAGGCGAAAAACAAGTAATAATTACTATCATATATCACAGTGCACTAATCATGGGGACAAAAAGATTAGTGCATGAAAAATTAGAAATATTTGCATATCCAGAAGAGAGACTCTATCTCAAACTTATAAAAGATTTGACATCCTTTAACTGTTGCTTGCATTGATAGCATTTGAAAAATTCAACATCACATTTAATGCAATAGCACTAGTCTATAAGCAAGCTAACAACTAACAAGGGTCTTAAATCATCTTTGATTGTTGAACTTAAACTCATTAGTCATATACAAATTCAATCAAAACTCTATAGTCCAAGATTAGTGGTGAAACACCCATTTGCTTACCACTGTACAAAAATAGAACACTTTGTAGACATACAAAAGCTCATATATGCATGTATATACAAATAGGAAGTAGAATGGTTCTCATACTCTCGGGAGATAAAATGAAAATTTAAGAACTACAAATAACATCTTACTCGTATATCATATGGTTAGAATTATTCATTATTCGATTTTTCAAATTTTTTTTTTTTGGTATTAGGATGTTCTAGTCTTTGATGCTATAAACAAACATTATTGGAACTTTTAAGGCTTTTGGCTATGAATTCACATTAGGTCTTGACGCTTAAGTATGTGCATATGAACTTGAGCCAGAAGCATCTACTTCATTGTATAAAGTAACAGTAAAAGTGAATTGATGACAATGCTTAGGCCTAGGAATTTTTTTTTTCTGTTCCAACGGAAAAAAAAAACCATGATCACTTGATAAATTTTGAGTTTAAAACATTCTCATGGTTCAAATGTGACAGATCAATCCTCTAGTAACCAAGTGACAAACTTTACCATCATGTTAGCAATGATGTAATGGAAATGTTGAATAGTGTACAAGTTTTATTTAATGGACCATGGAGAGACGTGATCTAGCAAATGCCACAAACAAAATTTCTAATTATACATGTAATCAAGAAGGCTAGCCACATAGGATTTGAGTTTATATGCAAATACAGTTAGAAAATTGATATTTCTGCACATTGTACGTTCACATAAAGAAGCAAGGGATAGAGTACTAGAGTTCATGTAATCCATGATGGTCTCAAAATGCTCAATTGATCAGTATGAATATGGCTTAAGCATCATGCATGCTTGTGTGTTTATAAAAACTTAGCAAATAT